GATGTAGTCTAGAGCCTGTCTCTCTGCTGCAGCCACGTTAGGATGCCACAGGTCCACACTGAAGATAACTCTGGGACCATCTTCAGCTCCCCCTAGAAGACAAACGTAAAGATGTTGGTTACATAGAAGACCTCTGTAGTCTCTCAATTGTTTCTCCTAGAGTTTTAATAAATAAATAATTGAGATCTCTGCATAGATTTCTTTGCCTCAGTTTCTACTGGGGTAATGTGTGTCCTACAGCTTGTCAGAAGAGTCTACGCTCCTAAAAATAAAGACGTTTTTGCAGTGATTCCATAAAAGAACCATTTGGGTTCCCCAAAGAACTGATTTTTTCCTTTGTGTGAAGAACTTTTTGTGGAATGGAAAGTTTCCATGGATGTTAAAGGTTCTTCATGGAATCATATAATGAACCATTATTTTTAAGATTATACTGTCACAGTCTCAACAATGTCTCAAAATCCAATAGAAATATAAAGATCTTGATACGAATGCAGACATTTCCCATGTAATTCTAAAATATCCATATACATTTTTTAATGCTACACTAACGTAAGTTTAGGGGTCAATAATTTTTGTTGTACTTTTGTTTAGCAAGGATGCATTATATTGATCAAAAGTGAAAGTAAATACATTCATAATGTTACAAAAACAGCACAGCATTGATAATAATAGCACCCAATCAGCATGTTAAAATGATTTTGATCATGTGTCACTGAAGACAGTAGTAATGACTGCTGAAATTCAGCTTTGCCATCACAGGAATAAATTACATATTAAAATATATTAAATTTATATTGCCATTTTATTTCACAATATTAGTTTTTACTGTAGTTTTGATCAAATAAATGCAGCCTTGGTGAGCATTAGAGACTTCTTTCAGTTTTTTAAATAGTAGTGTAGACTCTTACTATATGCCAATAACAATTTGTGTTGATTTTATTTAAAAGGATTTTAAAAGAAACATTTCTGACCCAGTTGACACAAATAAGAAGCATCATACTTGTTCAAAATGATCTATGTGCTCCATCATAATTTTTGTTCATGTAACACTCAACTAATCCTGTCTTACACATATGTAAGGTATTAGAAAAGTTTTTTTTTCTTTTTTTTCTCATGTCTTATTTCATCTAGGGTAAAAAGTGGGCCAGGACTGCCAGTGGTGCCCCCTCAGAAACATAAATGCGTGGCACACTTGCATAACTGAGAACTCAATTTAAGTAAACATTTCCTCTATTTTTCCTCTTCAGAATCAGATTGCCTGTTATCTTTATTGTTGTAGTTTGGTGAGCTGATTATTGATCTGTAACAGCTCTTCTCGGTTACTGTAGCCTCAGTCATTCAGCATATTATGATTAATGAGGTTTGTAAGATGTAATTCTCTGACCATTGTGTGAGATGGTATGCAGGAAGGAATCATCCACAAGGAGGCAGTGTCCCTCTGACCAACACTGAGGCTCCCCACCCACCACAAGCTCACACTGAGCAGGCGTTTGAAGACCTGACACACAGAAACACACTCACATCAAAATGACAAAAATCACATAATGTTGGATTATTTTTCCCCCAAATGTATGCGAACATTAGCATTTGCATGTGAAAAATTTTGTACAGTATTTTCCCTTACATTACCTCAAATAATTTGGCAGCTTTCATTAAAAGTATTTAGGGATCAGTACATTTATATATAAGGATGCATTAAATGGATCAAAAGTGACAGTAAAAACTTTTACATTGTTTTAAAAAAAGTCTATTTCAAGTAAATGCTATTGTTTTGAATTTTCTATTCATCAAAGAATCCAGAAAAAAATTTATCATGGTCTCCACAATAATGTTAAGCAGCACAACACATTTCAACGTTGATAAGAAATGTTTCTTGAGCAGCAAATCAGCATATTAGAATGATTTCTGAGGATCATGTGACACTAAAGACTGGAGTTTAAAATGACATTTTAAAATATAGTAAAACATAAACTAGTTATTTTAAATTGTAATAATATTTCACAGTATTGGTGTTTTTACTGTGTTTTTAATGCAGTCGTGTTGCTCAAAATCATTTAAATATCTTAATGACCCCATACTTACAAATGGTATTCTGTGTAGAACAGTTTTCTGTGCGTTCAGTGTTGTGACTTACCCAGATGGAAGCGCAGACGTGTGTTTGTAGGGCCATAGGCCCCTCCCAGTGTGGCCCCAGGACCCAGGAGCCAGAAGCCAGCAGATCCCAGAGAGTTACTGCTGATGAAGGTTCTGAGAGAGAGGAGAGTTCGGTACGTACACGGACACGCACGGCAGTTGCTGGCCACACACACTCCAGCGTTATAGAGCGGGAACACAGTCTGGCCCTGAGAGATCAACACATGAACTCATCATCATACATGCATATGCACACAACACATTTTCTCTCTTTTCTCAGGCTTAGCTGTGAGGGTTGTGTGTGTATATCTTGCATTATTATAGCCTGATTATTATGAGAGAATGATGAATTGGATACAAATTCATCATAAAAACTTCCTAACAGCAGTGCAGTACAGATTATGATTGCAAGATATTAAGAGAGGGCGACAAGGACAGCCAGAGAATGAAATTCTTGGTGAATGTGTGTGCTGAATGAAGTAGAGTGATGCAGAACACAAGTGAATTAGTAGAGTTTAACTAAAAATTTTTATTTCATTATTTACTCCCTCATGTTGTTAACCCAAAGGCTGTTATTTTTTCTGTAAGCCACAAAGAGACATTTTGATGGATCTTCACTGCAGCTGAAGCGAATATTTTCAAGGATTTACAACCCAAAATCTATCTATCTATCCATCCATCCATCCATCCATCCATCCATCCATCTATCTATCTATCTATCTATCCATCCATCCTGTCCATCCACCTGTCTGTCCGTCCTTCTGTCTGTCTGTCTATCTATTCTCGTGAACTGTGAATGTATAGTTTGTGAAGATGTATAAAAATCAAATAAACAGATTTTACTGTGATTTTTGTCTATATGACCCATTGAAATTGCTGAAATAGCGGAGCCTAGTATGTTTAGTCACCTTTGGTCCTTGGTAGCTCCAACCTAGCTTTGTATCAATCCCCCTCTGGTACATTGCTTGGAACTCAGCAAGGATTATGGGATAGCTGGCCTCCAGAACCTCAATGTCATGACGATGAGCATCCCTGGGAAAGAAAGGTATGCTGGGAACATCTGGGAGGTAGAAGAGATGAGGCTTCTGAATGGATGGCCGATCATTGATCCTGGCCTAGACATCAGCGAGGAAGATGTCGAGGGACAAACAGTGACATAAATGTTGAGGTACAATACAAATATTTAGTGCCTCAAGTTATCCTACTTTTCTCATCTCTGACCTGATTGCGCAGGCCCTTGTGAATTCGTCCCATGCCAGCCCAACTGTAGCGCTTGGCATACTCTTGTAGTGCTCTGTACAACTTCCTGCTTTCCGCTGCAGCCTCGGTGGGAAACGGTGCATGGCTCAACACCGGTGTCAGGTAGCTCTCTGTGCCCTCCTCTTCTTCCACTGTCTCCATGGTGATAGCCGCGGATGCTTTAGGCGCAGAGTGTCTGGGGTCAACTGGGGAACGGCTGGATGACCGAGAGAATGAGGATCGGCCGGAGCCACTTTTCAGCATGCCAGAATGGGATGGTGGGTCAGAACCCACGCGGTAGCAGTACCAGAGGAAGAGGAGGAGGACGGTCCAGAGCAGCCCGCTGAGGGGAGGACCACCCAGCAACGCACATGGGGGAAGTGGCACCAAGTCCAGAGACCAGGGCATAATGCTGAGAGAGTGAGCTTACGGTGAAAGAAAGAAAGAAAGAAAAAAAGAAAGAAAGAAATAAAGAAAGAAATGATTCAATAATCATGATCTTCATGAACTTCATAAGTGCTTGTTACATGAGACTTTCTTCAGTGTGTAAAATCAATACACTTTGGCTATACACTCTGACTTATTTCCCTTCCTCCATGTTTAATAGCTGAATAATTAAGATGCAGCTGACCACAGATGATGAATATTAATCAATCTGAGGATACCAAGGGCTTCACTCGGTGAAATATCTCTCGCTATATTGCACAATGATTCCTGCTGCAGTCAGTTTGTTGTGACAGTACTCACGTTGCTGAAACATTGCGCACGGATGTCCGGAGAGAGCATGACGACGGAAAGAACCGATTTTTACCGAACATTACAAGTTACCATTCGGACACTTGCAGAGCAAATTTCTTAAATTTTAGGGTATTCTGTATATGTGTGTTCTCTTACCACTTCTCCACGTCTTACTCAGTCTCTCTTCCCCCCGTCGTTCTCACCACGTCCCTTCCTCTGTTTATCTGCAGCCCTGAAAATACAGTAGATTCCGCATTCAGCGCTTCCGTAAGGCTGGAAGAACGACTCCGCCTTCTTTACGGAACAGACCGAAGATGCTTTTTTATTACCTTTGTCCATGTACTGACGCATCTGAATCAACCAGGCCCTCGTTGCTGGGTTGTGGAGCCCTATTTTAGAATTGTATCACCCCCTTTTAGCCGAGAGCCGACTGGGCAAGTTTCAGCACCGAGACGCTGGACAGCTCCTATGCAGAGCGCCGTCTACGTCTTGCGCTACTGCAGTTCAACCACTGTGCGGCGCAAGTGAGATGGACACAAAAATACAATTAAACCAACCAAGCACCAGCCTGTACTGAAGGGGAGTCCGACCGATTTGGTGAATCAGTTCTTTCATTGGTTTTCATGAACTAGTAGTTTTTTTTTTTTTTTTCATGAACTAGTTCTAAGAACGATTCAGTAATTATTTCATGTCATCACGTGGTCACTGACATCACTGAAAGGGTTATTTTTTCTTATTTAAAATCTGTTTGTTGTGGTATTTGTCAGTGAGTCTGTTGTTGACTCGAGAAGTGCTCGGACCAGGCTCAGTCTGTTTTATGAGTCGGTTCATTAAAAAAGATTCGACTCACAAAACGATTCGGACATCGCTAATTGACAGTAAACGCGCCACCATAAGGTAGGAGCTGCTCTATGCCTGTTCCACACTCACCTGCTAGCCTGCCATAGGCCTAAACGGACAAAAATAAACGAATGAAATATAAAACCAAGAACGGACGGAAATTAATTTTTTTCCTTGGATCGAAACCGTTATATTATCTTCTCCGTTGGTTCGAATGGAACACCCATATTTGACAATAACTGGGCCGGGAGCGTTCAAATGATTCTTTAAAATCCGTTTGACGCGCAGCACCAGTCGTGGTATTTTGGAGGGGGGTGGAGGAGCGAGAGACGCAGCGAGAGCGTTGCTACAGAAAAACACGCACGAAATATTCAAAGAATCACCAGGACGCGGGAAGAAACCTAGAGGATACATTGTGACGAATAAAAAAAAGAGAAACGGCGTATTGCGGGTGCGTATGCGTTCTGTTTCCCTCTGACAGACAGTGGTGTTTCCGCGAGCTTGGTACCTCGCGCGACATCCACCTGCATTAAGATGCAATGGATGCATTCATGGAATCATTGTGAATCATTCATATGAATCCAATATTGCTTTTCTTTAGAAAGAAATACAGGTTTATTCAGTCTAGACGGCTTGCTAATGCGTTTTGGGGGGGGAATGGGCGTCTTGCGTCATAGGCAAGGATAAGAGATGTTTTCTGAAGCAGATGAGGAGAAGAGCGTCTGAATAAATTATCTGAACGCTCTGCCCGCAGTGTCAGCAACATCATCTGCCCGCATATTCTGTCGTGGTTATCATTAGTGTTGCTATTATAAATTAATGACGAGCCTCAGTATGTTTTCATCTTCATCTTGTTCATTTGTATCATGAAGCTCCCCCCCCCTTTTTTTAATCAGCATCGGCATGTGCGGTAAATACTAAATGAGGCTTGTGGTGGTGACTGGGCCCCTAGCAGCCCAGACCTGCTCTCTTCTACCTGTCTCTCGTGTTGCGGTGACATCATTGATCAGGGGCCATATGTCTCGTGCACTGTCAGGCCTCGAGGGCCACGGCGGGGCCATAAGATTTGATAGACGACAACAGACCCAGTAACTTTTATGGAATATTTTACGAGATGACGCATTTCTGCAGTTTATTTTTCTTTTGAACTTCTGAATTAAGAAACTGCAGTGTTTTCAGCCGGATATCATCATCAATTGTTTATAATTGCATTGGTAAAAACCTAAATTTCACCAAACTAACTCATTTAACTTTAGCTTTAAAGACCCCATCATAATTTTTTTCTTTCTCGAGTCCCCTGTATTTTCCTATTTGTTGAAATAGAAAGTTTAGGCGGGTCACATCAAAGTACTCCATGCTTTAAAACAATAGCTAATAAGCTGCATAAACCATGTGTTTTTTACTTACTAGGTATGACTGAGAGAGGGACATTCTCATTCTAGAGAGCTTTTGTTTGGACAGAATTCGCTAGTATGTGATGACTTGCACTGACGTTGAAAAGTTTGAGGTCGGAAAGATTTTTTTAAATGTTTTTGAAAGTCTCTTATGCTCACCAAAGTTGCATTATTACTGTAAAAACCGTAATAATGTGACACATTATTACAATTTATAATAACATAATGTTGTATAGTTTATTACATTTTATAAAACAATTTTCAGCAGTCATTAGTCCAGTCTTCAGTGTCGCATGATCCTTCAGAAATCATTGTAATATGCTGATGTGACATTTTTTCAGTATTATTTGATGAATTAGAAAGTTCAAAAACAGAGTTTACTTGAGATAGAAATCTTTTGTAAAATTATTAAGTCAATATTTTTGATGCATTTTCACAGAAAGTCAAAGACTGTAATTTTAAATGTATATTATGTATATATCAACTTTATTTATTTAATCTATTAATTTATTTAATCTTTACATTTTTATCCTTCTTTCCCTCTTACTACTTCTTTTTTCTCTTGTTTGCTTGCACCCAGGCTGTCCGTTCATTTTAAAAAATGGTGTCCACAGTTTTTGCTGTGACACTGTCTGTCACACTGCTGCACCTGGCTTCAGGTAATGTGCACACACTTGTGTGAGTGTGCTTTTGTATGTTTAACTATTCACGCGAGGTGAAAGCACATAATATATGTAGATTACTTTACAATGAACCTATTTAGCTGAAAGAAACTAAGTTTGACAGTTCCGTGGTCTTTTTAGGTGCATCTTTAGGGACGTCAGATCCTGAGGCTCCTCCCACTGTGACCTCCAGTCCCCAGCCCTTGGGAGAACTCATCCATGCTGCACTTCTCAGTAAGGAGTACCTGGGCCACACCCCTGGTAGCAAAGGTCAGTCCTTCCTAAAGAGAACACAGCAAACTGTATAATTGTAATAATAAAGCAGTTCTATGTCATCACTATTTACCATTATCTAAATCTGGGATTTAACTCACAGGTACAACTACTAACCCGACCCAGGCCATCCCGTCCATCAGAGAATCAGATCCCGCCTCCACAGTGATGTCACCAGGAATCCTCACCACCGCAGTGACCTCATCGACTGCACCTCAAGCAGGCCAATCAGTTTTTGGGAGTGCCGTGACATCACCACCAGCTGAAGAAGAGACCACAACCACTCTAATCACTACAACAACTATAACAACAGTGCACACACCAGGTATCATAACCAAAAAAAGCACATAACAGTTGAAGACATCAAGTAATTTCCAACATGAAGCTCTAAACGCTACAGATTATGTCCCTCAATGGGTCTCAGACCATTAAAATGATTTCTAAATAATATTTTGCAGTTTTTTATAATCGCCAGGACATATTTCTTAATACTAAAGTCACTTTTTCAAAACTCTTCACACTCCTAACCAACTTTCAGCTTGGCACAGCAGTAAATTTTACATCCAAAATGCACCAAAACTCTTCATACATGTTTCAACTTATTCTTCCATAACATTATCAAAGGTTGTCACCCAACAAGTACAGTTTGTCACTAATAAAACAATGACCTAAAAACAGGTGCTAATAACAGGTAGCATTGTGGATCATTGTAAAATTGTTTTACAAAACAAGAATGGGAGCTCTCTTTTTAGAATTTACTGCAGTATATATTACATGGCCCATGTTTACAGTACAAAAATATTCGTATTGCACCCTTTTGTATAGATGGTAATGAAATTGAAAGGCTAACACTTGGTAGGTGTTCAGCTATATGTAATTGTTTTGATAGTATTTAATTTTTAAGATTTGGAATATATTTTAAAGTGGTATTACAATAGAAATGAAATGTTTGTTAGTTATGTATTATGTTGAAAAGTTTTGGAAAACATGCAAATTGTAAACATATAAATTGGCCAGTAGATACATATAATTTTTGGTTATGTCTGAGTGATAAAAGAATTAATGTAATTTTAAAGATGTAGTCGTAAATTTTATTTTTCAGTAGAAAATGGAAATGGAAAATGAGCCACAGTTTGGCCCACATAGACTGCTTTTGTTCTCAATGTTTTGAAAAAGTGGCACAATTATTAAGAAACTGGTCCTATTGATTGTTAAAAAATTAAATTTCTAAATTAATTTTTTAAGTTGTCCTTAAAACTTTGAAACTGTCTCTCCAGTTCAGTGCAATGCCAGTCTGTCAGGAATGGAGGGAATAGTCGAGTCCCCTGATCCACTCTCCTCCTCATCTCCCTTTTCTCCGCTGGAGTGCACCTACAGCATCACCGTTTATCTTGGATATGGTGTTGAAATACAGGTGTGATAGCTTCACCGTTACCACGGTTTCCGTTATAACCTCAGATAGCCTCTCTCTACCTCACCATGGTTACTGGCCTTTAACATAGCTGATGCATCTTGTTGGCATTTGCATGGGTGATGTCACACTAATGAGTTCTGAAATCTTTGCCCTTGATACAATCTCGGACAATGACACCATTAACTGTTGTTATGGTAACACCTGTCTGTTTTGAAGGTGAAGAAAGTAAACTTGTCCAAGGAGGAGTCACTTACCATTCTGGAGCTGGGTGCGACAGCGCCTGAGCTTTTAGCCAATGAGACGCTAATGAGCGAAGGTCAGGTGATTCGTAGCTCAACCAACCAAGTGCAGATCCACTATAAGAGCCTGAAGCAAGCCAATCATGGTGTTTTCAGCTTTTACTATCAAGGTATTTTTCTTGTAACAAAGATTTAGACTACCGTTCAAAAGTTTGGGATTGTAAGATTTTTTAATTAAAAAAAAAATCTCTTATGCTCACCAAGCCTGCATTTATTTGCTAAAAAACACATTAATACAGTAATGTTGTGAAATATTATTGTAATTTAAAATAACTGTTTCAGTGTCACATGATCCTTCAGAAATCAGTCTAATTTGCTGATTTGGTGCTCAATGCACGTTTCGTATTATTATCAATGTCGAAAACAGTTGTGCCGCAGTATGAGTAAGAACAGTATGTATTTGGATTAGCAATCTTTTATCATTCTGTCTTTACTGTCACTTTTGATCAATCAATGCATTCTTGCCAAATAAAATTATTAATTTCTTAATAACTGACCCCAAAACATTTGAACTGTACTGTAAGCGAAGTATAATTTCTCTGTTTTGACATGACAGGAATGACAGAGTTGTCTTGTTCTTTTGAAAACCCATTCCAGCGTTCCTCCTGTCCTGCTCATTTCCCCTCTCCCCTGAGGGCGGTGGAGTGACCGTAACTGATATTCATCCTGGGGGTCAGGCTCACTTCCATTGTGATCCTGGATTTGAGGTCAGAGGTCATGAGGTTGCAACCTGTTTGAATTCCACCCGACCCAAATGGAGCACCCCAGAACCCCAGTGTGTGGGTGGGTTGCGCTTTTCGTTCGGTTATTTTATTATTTTTCAATATCTACAGTTGCTTGAAGACATTTCTGTTTATTGCCATGTGTATAAGCATTCACGTGTGTTTTTGTATATTAAAGCTGTATCTTGTGGAGGGTGGATTAGAAATGCTACAGTTGGACGCATTCTGTCCCCAACCCTCCCCTCTGCAAGTAACCATAGCAGCGGTAGCAACCTGAGCTGCCATTGGCTGCTGGAAGCCAAGGAAGGCCACAGGCTCCACCTCCATTTTGAGAGGGTGGCTCTTGATGAAGACAATGACAAGTAAGTTCACGTCTTTCTTAATCTTGTGTAGGCTATTAAGTTACTTATTTTGTATCTTATTTTTTATAATTGTCTCCGCTCATGTAGTTGCAATACTGTATATATTTAGAAAATGTACTAGCTATACTGAAGTTTTCTGTTGATGAATGAACACCAAATGAGATCTACTACTTCTTCCAGTAGTCTTTCGTGGATCATTCCTTTCTTTTGATGTCACACTTTTCTTAATGTTCTTTTGGTTCCCTTTCCATTCCCCTTCATCACATTCCTAGGCTGATTGTGCGTAGTGGGAATAGCTCTATAGCGCCACTCCTCTTCGACTCGGATCTGGATGACGTTCCAGAACGAGGCTTCGTGAGCGAGGGAATGTCTCTCTATGTGGAGCTCACAGCAGATTCTTCTTCCATCCCACTGCTGCTGGCACTCCGCTATGAGGGTAAGACAACATGGTACACATTCAACAAAATACATTTCATTACTATAAACCATATACCACTATAAACTTTGTAATTGTTTTAAAATGTAATTAACACAAACACTAATATGTTACATGAATGCAGTATTACTTAATAACTTAACATCCTTCCTCTTCTTTCTCTTTCAGCCTTTGATGGGGAACACTGTTATGAACCTTACCTGCCTCATGGGAATTTCAGCAGCAGTGACATCACCTTCCCATTGGGTACTATAGTAACCTTCTCATGCTCTCCTGGTTTCGTCATGGAGCAAGGCTCAGGAGTTATGGAGTGTGTTGACCCCAATGACCCTCACTGGAATGAGAGTGAACCTGTCTGCAGAGGTAGACATATCACATATTTACAATATCTGTACACTACCATTCATAAATTTGGAGATTTTAAATGTTTTTATTAAAGAAATTAATACTTCAATTCATCAAGCACACAATAAATTAATAAAGAATGACAGTAAAGACTTTTACATTGTTACAAAAATATTTTATTTCAAATGAATGCTGTACTTCATTAAAGAATGCTGAAAAAATGTATCACAGTTTCCATAAAATATTAAGCAGCACAACAAATGTTTGTTGAGCATCAAATCAGCATATTGGAATGATTTCTGACGGATCATGTGACACTGAATACTGGAGTAATGATGCTGAAAATTCAACTTTGCTATCACAGAAATAAATTGCATTTTAAAAATATATAAAATTAGAAAGCAATTATTTAAATTGTAATATTATTTCACTATTTCACAATATGTACTGTATTTGTAATCAAATAAATGCAACCTTGGTGGATTGAAAAATTCATCATTGAAAAATCTTACTGACCTCAAACTTCTGAAAGGTGGTGTTATGTCATTCATTCACAAACTGCACAGTCATCTATATTAGTCAATTTACTGTCAATTTACTTCATTAATTCAGTGCGAATTATAAAGAAAATAATCCTTTTAACGTTAAAGTGGTTCAAAGTTGATCCTTCATTCCGTCTTTAAGCAAATTTCACAACAGTCTTAAATTGTACCTACTAGGCATTCAAGGAACTTACTTATATAATCACTCTGGCCTAATAATATGAAAGCTGTTTTAATATGATTCCTTCTCTTTCTCTTCTTCTCAGCTTTGTGTGGCGGGGAGCTCACAGACCCAGTGGGAACTGTGTTGTCACCTGACTGGCCACAGAGCTACTCTAAGGGGCAGGACTGTGTGTGGCAAATACATGTCAGCGAGGACAAGCGCATTGAACTGGATGTACAAATGTAAGTATATCTATTTGATTGAAACAGTTTGTGCTTAATTCTGTTTTAGGTTTAATTCTATTTTATTTTCTATTTTCCTATCTTTTGCTTGCAGTTTGAACATCCGTCATAATGACATTCTCACTCTATTTGATGGCCATGATCTGACGTCACATGTGATTGGCCAGTACCTGGGCTCAAGAGAAAGGTTCAGGGCTGTATCAGGAGGTTCAGAGGTCACCATTCAGTTTCAGAGTGATCCCGATGACTCTACGTTTATACTGAGCCAAGGCTTCCTCATTCACTACAGAGGTAAACGTCAAAGGGGTTGTCCTTTTCCTGTATAAAGTGAAAAAAAAGTGACGTGACTAGGGATGTAACGGTATGAAAATTTCATATCACGATTATAGTGACCAAAGTTATCACGATTATCAATATTATCACGGTTTTGTTCAAATTAGTCAGTCGTGGTATTGAAGGTGGGAGAGAGCACTGTACATTCACTCCCCCCACCTACAATCCCTGCCGGTACGAGACTCGAACCCGCAACCTTTGGGTTACGAGTCCGACTCTCTAACCATTAGGCCACGACTTTCCCAAAAAATCTTTTAACAGTATCTTTTGTGCTGTAGCTTAGTGATGCCACTTCCTTTTATTTCTTGAAGAGGTGGAACCAAATGACACATGTCCTGTCCTTCCGCAAATTGAGTTTGGCTGGAGCAGCTCCTCCCACCCGTCTCTGGTGAGAGGCAGTGTATTAACCTATCAGTGTCAGCCTGGTTATGACATTGTTGGCTCTGATATCATCACCTGCCAGTGGGATCTCTCCTGGAGCAACAACCCGCCCACCTGTGTGAAGAGTGAGCCGTGTTATGTTTATCTTTGGAACACATTGATGTATTTAATGGTTCACTTTGATTGTTCATCATTTAGTAGACTCATCATTTACCGGTTTGATTACTTGATTAATACTGTACACACTCTCTTTTCTCCTGGCTTTGATGTCCCTCTAGTCCAGCAGTGCCCTGATCCAGGAGAAGTGGTCAATGGAGCACGCTCAGTACATCCGGAGTCTGGTTTTGCTGTGGGAACAGTGGTACGCTTCACATGTAACCAAGGTTATCAGCTGGAAGGCCCGAACCAGATCTCCTGCCATGGCAGAGACACCGGCATGCCCAAATGGAGCGACCGCAGCCCAAAGTGTGTCTGTGAGTACATGTTATTTTTGTGCACATGATGAGGTATGTGCGGGATTGTGTCTGATTTTTTCCCCCTTGATTCTGTATAGATTTAATTCAGAGGTTTTTGAAATTGATTAATATTAATAAGTATGGCTGTCAAAATGAATGCATTCATGCATATGATTAAATACACTGAATAAAATACAAAACAACAACAACAATAATTGAAATAAAAAAAATAATTAAAGATTTTAATCAATTGACAATCTTAATGAGGTCTTAAATAATGTTAAATTACTAAATCATACACTACTTTCAAAAGTTTGGGGTCAGTAAGATCTTTTAAATTAATACTTTTATTAAGCAGGGATGCATTAAATTGATCAGAAGTGACAGTAAAGACATTTACTATGTAACTAAAAATTTTAGATTTCAGATACATGCTGTAAAAAAATCCACAAAATTATTAATCAGCACAACTGTTTTCAACATTGATCATTTTAAGAAATGTTTCTTGAGCAGCAAATCAGCATATTAGAATGATTTCAGAAGGATCGTGTGACACTGAAGACTGGAGTAATGATGAGGTATGTGCGGGATTGTGTCTGATTTTTTCCCCCTTGATTCTGTATAGATTTAATTCAGAGGTTTTTGAAATTGATTAATATTAATAAGTATGGCTGTCAAAATGAATGCATTCATGCATATGATTAAATACACTGAATAAAATACAAAACAACAACAACAATAATTGAAATAAAAAAAAGAATTAAAGATTTTAATCAATTGACAATCTTAATGAGGTCTTAAATAATGTTAAATTACTAAATCATACACTACTTTCAAAAGTTTGGGGTCAGTAAGATCTTTTAAATTAATACTTTTATTAAGCAGGGATGCATTAAATTGATCAGAAGTGACAGTAAAGACATTTACTATGTAACTAAAAATTTTAGATTTCAGATACATGCTGTAAAAAAATCCACAAAATTATTAATCAGCACAACTGTTTTCAACATTGATCATTTTAAGAAATGTTTCTTGAGCAGCAAATCAGCATATTAGAATGATTTCAGAAGGATCGTGTGACACTGAAGACTGGAGTAATGATGCTGAAAATTCAGCTTTGCATCACAGGAATAAATTACACTGTAAAAATGTTTTAAACAGTTATTTTAAATTATAATAATATTTCATAAGATGACCGTTTTACTGTATTGTTGATCAAATAAACGCAGGCTTGGTAATCATGAGAGACTTCAAAAGCTTGAACAAAACCTTACTGACCCCAAACTTGTGAATGCTAGTACATGCAGGATAAAACATTACAGATACAGCTAAATATTTTGTCCCAAGTACCAGTGAAGATTTCTCTCTAATGTATTAACCTATAAATCATCAATCAACCATGTTGCCCTCTATTTGTCTGCTAAACAGTAAAATATGATCCATGCCCAAACCCTGGTGTGCCTGACAATGGCTACCAGACTCTGTACAAGCACAGTTACCAGGCAGGTGAGACACTGCGTTTCTTCTGCTATGAGGGTTATGAGCTCATTGGGGAAGTCATCATCAACTGTGTCCCAGGACACCCCTCTCAGTGGAATAGCCCACCACCCTTCTGTAAAGGTATGTGGAAGTGAACTAGTCTAATACATAGAGAGTTGGCATTTCTATCTGAATAGTTTGAAAATATCATGTTTTATTTATTTGCAGTGGCCTATGAAGGGCTACTGGATGATCATAAATTGGAGGGTAACGTTGGTTATCATTGTTAAGTACTATTCATATTTGATAATTTGGCCCACTATGTCACATAATGATGTCCATGTTATTAACTTCCACTCTTTGCAGTTTCTCAGTCATTAGAGGCCTCTCATCAAATGCTGAGTGAGAACATTGCATTGGCTATTATCCTGCCAATCATTCTGGTCATCCTTCTGATTGGTGGAATCTACATGTACTATACCAAGTAAGTTTGGCATGCTTGTGTTTCTGAATGATTTTGGTTTGTGTTAAAGTTAACATGAAATCAAAATTGGCCCTATTACCTTTCTTATTACACTGAACAAATATTTGGAAAAATTGTTTTAATAATTTTTTTTTTTTTTAAACAATTTTCACTGAGAAATTGCTAGTAAATAATTACAATGATCAACTTTGGATTTTTTTTTCTTATTTTGCATAATTTATTATTGCACCTTATTTCAGAGAAAAGGTAATTGTTGCTTCTTGGTCAGGAAATTAGATAGATAGATAGATAGATAGCATGGAGTGGCCACTTTCTACAATTTCCTAATCCAGTTCCCTATGGATAAAATTAATCCTGCCTTGCATTTGACTCTGAAATATATACCATTACTAAAGCAGAACGGTTTGCTAGCACTATTTCCTGTTGACTTTAAAATTCAGTTATTTTCCCTGATTGTCAAAACCTTCTTCACAGCTGTTCCTTATTTAGCTCTTCTGCACTAACACCTCTCTCGTCTTCTCTTCCTGTCTCTCTCAGTGTGTGTAGGTGGCAGTGGAAACCGTTGTTCTGGAAGTCTCTCTCTCACACCCACTCCTACAGTCCCATAACGGTGGAGTCTGACTTTAACAACCCTCTCTATGAGGCAGGGGTAAGATGCTCACAACCTAGTGGAATTTGTACTTACAAACTGTTAGGATGTGTACCTGAACACCAAGAAACCAAAGGCATGTTCACACATTGATTTTCTCTTTAGGGAATCATAGTCTGTTTGCTATCTTCGATCTTGCAGATCTTCTAGCACAGCATTATTTTTATGTATAGAAATATCTAATTACACTACCATTCAAAAGTTTGGGTTTAATGTTTTTGAAAGAAGTCTCTTATGCTCACCAAGGCTGCAGTTATTTGATCAAAAATACAGTAAAACCAGAAATATTGTGAAATATTTTTACATTTAAAATAATTGTTTTTCATTTTAATATATTTTACATAGCATAATTACTTCAGGCTTCAGTGTCACATGAACCTTCAGAAATTATTCTAATATGCTGATTTGCTGTTCAAAAAACATTCCTTATCATTATCAATGTTGAAAACAATTTTTTTATTTTTTATTTTGTGAAATCCTGCTTTTTCAGGATTATTTGATTAATAGAAAGCTCAGTCATGTCTTTTAATCAATTTAAAGCATCTTTGCTAAATAGAAGTGTTAGTTTCTGTTTTCTTTTTTAAAGCAATAAAATCATACTGACACCAGACTTTTAAACGGTAGTGCAGATGCTGCTGCGTCATCATACACATTTTATAAAAAAGGGTGTTTTCTATCTTTTTTGTTGTATTTAGTGTCAATTTATCTGCTTTATATTATATTAAAGGTGGGGTAAGCGATTTCTGGTAGCCAATGTTGACATTTGAAATCACCAAAACAAACACGCCCCTACCCCAAAAGGGTCTCGCCCCTATATTGATAGCTCCGCCCCACACATATGTACGCAACCCAGGCAACGATTAGTTCTGTGAAACAAAGCATAACCAATGCTTATTGCCTTAAGCCTTCTTTTGTTCCGCAGACGTTTTCCTCTTTTGTTTTTTATCCGGCATCTCTATCTTTCTGTCGCTCGGCTCTCTAATGTCCATCCTGTGCACTGAACTCTCTCTCCTCCACATCATGAGTAGACACGACCCTTACTGCTGATTGGCTACAAGTTTGTTTTGCTAGTCTGCCCGAATCAGTTTTCTAAAGCGTTCTAAAGAGCTTATCCCACCTTTAATTAAAGATTTTCAAAAACTAGACAGTACTGCTAGGCTTTAGATGATGATTTTTCGTATTTGCTAGTAACATGCGTTTTGTTTATCTCTCTCACTGTAGGACACACGAGAGTATGAGGTGTCCATCTGAGACAGGAGTCTGCAAATGAATCCAAATTTTGGGTGACTGAAAAGGAGAAGAAAAGGAAGGATACTGTTATTTGTCTCTCTTTGCAAGACATTCATTCGTTTTATTCAATTAATTACAACACATAAATCCCACTCTACACAGTCTCTCTCTCCTCCCTCTCGGTCGATTCACTGATGTAAGTACGTATCAAGAGTTTATGCAGGTGCCTGTGTAGTATGTTAGTGTGTGTTTACATGTGTGTGTATGTTATTGGCTGTATATGTACATTAGAGTAATGAAATACTGAAAGTAACAACAAAAAAGTTGTAAGTACGTATTGTTAATATGATTTCCACAGTCAGGCATGTTTTATAACAAAGGGTTTGGTGCCTTAAGGACTGTAAAGTGATGGAGTGAGAGAAAGAAAGAAATTGAATGGGGAGAGAGTAGGTTAGTAAATAAAAAACTAGCAAAACGAGTTGCGCGGTGTCCCCACCACTTTTCAAAGCAAAGTTACGCCACTGTATATATATATATATAAATATAATCTGAAACATGAAAACTATACTCTCATGTTCCCATATTTGTATACAGACACATGGCCACACATTTACACATACACATGATGACAAGAACATATTGAATGTAAATATTTTGATTGAATATTGAGTAAACAAACAGATTCAGTGCCAAAATACATCCCATAATGTGACGTCACTTCTTGTTTCACTGGTTGCCATAGTATTTCTCACATTATTATGTAAAAATGAGGACAATGCCAGCATTTCATAATTTTCTTTGCTGTTTCTTAAGAATCTATTTCTGCTTGATGTTGAATGACCATGTTTCAGAGGAGCAGAATGTCCTCTTGCTTACGGCACGCAACGATTGTATATTTTACCGCTTCAGCTTAGGATTCATGATCAATTATACTTACTGTCATTGTTATCAGAGTTGATGTTGTTGCATATGCACTATGTTGAGGAAAATATATACAGAAAAAAACTGCTTGCTGTGATGCAGTAATCGAATTGAAATGCTTTTTATAAATTGCATTTTTTTTTGTTTATCTCATGGTTTCTTGTTAATATGCAGTGAGTTTCGTCTTTTCCACTGTGCCATTACCAGAGCCCATGTTGTGGAGGGCTTTGTTGCATTATAGTATTACTTGATTGTTATTTATTTATCAACATAATATACTTGTCATGAAGACATTTATTTGCTGAGATTTAAGATTAAATAAAATTCTCTGTTGGATGGTGAATGTGTCTTTCATAAATGAAATCTTTATGGATAATACATACTGGTATTTCTTGCATTAGCCAAACTATTGAATTTATGTGTGTGTATGTATATAATGTACAACATATATATATATGCATAAATACACACAATCATATAGATAGATAGACAGATAGATAGATAGATATACACATACAAACATTTACATGCTTGTGTGTGTATACACAATCACACGGTACACTAATTTACGTATTTCACGTTCCCAAGACAGAAGAGAATGTTTTAAAATTGAAACGAAATTTTGTGTTACAGAAGAAAACACTGACCTAATAAAACTGCCGTTTACGATTGGCTGAATTCAGACACGCTTCACTTCTGTTCTGTTATTGGGGGCGGGACCGGGACTAACTCTCTTGATTGACGTTGATGTTGGACCAATCAGTCAACGAAAGACTCCTCGCGAGGGGAAGCAGCCATTGTCCACCCACAACAAGCAAGAAAGAGGAAGAAGACAGTCGTGCTGCAAGACAACAGAGGAAAATATGATTTGGTGAAAAATCACGGCAGGCTTAGTGTTATAGATGTAACAGTCCGCCGCGAATACTTTATATTTTGTGCACCTTATCGCGGGGACCCAGCTCGGTGAGTGTTTTCTCGTTGACAGCCACACTAATGTTATCAAGAGCTAGCTCAGGGGCTAATAAGCTTATCAATATAAGAGACAGACATCATATTCACTAGACACGTTGTGTAGATGTGTTTCCCGTTAATCGCCAGTTGTGAAGCTATTAAATGACTAGTGAATGGTGGGAAATAAATTTGATGTGGTCTAGACGAGGATTAGCGAGATCTCTCAGCTGGAGTTAAGATCATACTGAATGTGTTGACCTAATTCTGTCCATTTCCTCTGATATCAGTACAGAAACACATTTGTGGCCTCCCCAGTGGTGTGGACAGATATGGGTGTTATATTTCCCATATGCTTTAGTTTTTAGGGATGCCCCAGTGAGATCTTTGGATGCTCTATGACAGATGCTAAAAGCATTGCTTTATATTTCATATGTTATGTTTCTGACTTTTTGGATGTTGTCTTTGTTTGTGTTTTCGGAAACAGTTACAGTGGTTGTCACATAAGCTGCGCACAGTTTATGACTGTATATAACGGTGTGCTGTCACCTTGTTCACTCATATCTCTGAAGATGTCACAACATTTATTGGTTTATTTTGCTCTTGTAAAACTTTGTCTTTTGTACATGTGAGTAATCACTAGAGATTGCTTTGATGTCCTACTGGCTAAGTTTCTTTTTAAAGGAATAGTTCAGACAGAAAAGAATATTTTGATATTATTTGTGTAATTTATCTCGTAAGTAAGTAGAACACAAAAGATATTTTGTGTATTACACAAATATTCTGGACAGTTTTTCATATGAGGACTGGGGCTGTCAGGCATCCAAAATGATAAAAAGAGTTTTTAAAAGCATCATAAAAGTATCCATATGACTTGTGTGCTGTATTCCAAGTCTTTTGAAACCATATGATCGTTTTGAAATCATATAATAAAGCAAATAAAGCAAAGATTATAAAGATTTGCTTAATAAAGCAAATCTCTCCCGTGAACTGCCAAAATACAGACAGCAATCCATGTGACTTGTGTGCTGTTTTTCCAAGTCTTTTGAAACCATTTGATCATTTTAAAATCATATAAACAGATGCTCTTCACTGGAAATGTTGCCCTCCGGTGGGAAACTATTTTAGTTGAACTCAAGAACTGGATCAGTTCAGTTAGTAAATGAAGCATTCAGACCAGTTTTATTAACTGGATCAACTGATTTAAAAGATCTGACTAGAATCTCGAAAGAACAATTTTGTTCACATATTGGACATCGCTACTTGCAGATTTTTAGTCAATAACTGACTGAAATTTTGATCTCACACAAAGCTACTGTAGAATATGTACTTGGAATATAGTGCATGATTCATGTGGATCATTTTTGTGATGCTTTTATGCTGCTTTTTGTAATTTGGGTGCTTGACAGCTCCAGTCCTAATTCAGTTTCATTACATTCATGAAAACAAGTTTATCCTTTAGAAACTCTCCTTTTGTGTTCCATAGAAGAAAGAAAATGATACAGGTTTGGAATGGCATGAGAGTGAAGTATTCAAGTTTGGATGAACTATTCCTTAACCACTGCATTTCAGAACTACTCAGTACTGTGCATAACAACATCTCATAACAACCAGACTGAAATTCTGTCTTCTCTGTATTTGTGTGCTTTATATCTTTAGGCAGCAAATAAGTAGTATTTGATTTCTACTCCCCTGATGTCTGCCGAGGCATCTGGTTCATCTTGTGGGAATGTGGTGACTGTGCCCGGTTCTGCCGCATCATCCTCCAGCCACGTTGGGGAAGAAAAGGCCGGCAGGAGCCTGGCGGGGAGTAAGTATGTGAAGCTCAATGTGGGGGGAACTCTCCACTACACCACGGTCCAGACGCTCAGCAAGGAGGACAGTCTGCTCAGGAGTATTTGTGACGGGAGCACAGAGGTCACCATAGATTCTGAGGGTAAGAAAAAGCATGAGAATACTACCTTTCAAAAGTTTGGGGTTGGTAAGGTTTAATGCCTCAAGGCTGCATTTATTTGATCAAAAATATAGTAAATATTACTGCAATATAAAATAACTGTTTTCTATTTTAATGTATTTTAAAATGTAATTTATTGATGGCAAAGCTGAATTTTCTTCAGTCATTACTCCAGTCTTCAGTCTACACAGACTTGATCAAGATATTTCTTATTTTGTATCAATGTTGTGCTCCTTAATATTTTTTTTTCAAGATTCTTTAATGAAAGTTTAAAAGAACAATATTTATTTAAAATCTAAATCTTTTGTAACATTATAGATGCCTTTTACTCTCACTTTCAATCAATTTAATTCTTGCTGAATAAAAGTATTAATTTCTTTCAAAAAAACAAAGCAAAACTAAAGAAAATGGTAGAATGGGAAAGAAGGGTGGCGTAGCATGACATCAGCTCCGGTACAGCTTTTTCTGGTCAAGTACTTCTATAATACTACTATAATAGATGCAGAAACTACATTTACATTTAGTCATTTAGCAGATGCTTTTATCCAAAGCGACTTACAAATGAGGACAATAAAAGCAGTCAAAACTAACAAAAGAGCAACAATATATATAAGTGCAAACTAGATCAGAGATGTGTATTTAAATGTGTCTTCACTTGCTTTTTAAGGCTGGGTGGTGCTGGACAGATGTGGGAGACACTTTTCCCTGGTGCTGAACTTCCTGCGGGACGGGACGGTTCCTTTGCCGGAGAGCACACGGGAGCTAGAGGAGGTATTGAAGGAGGCGCAATACTACAGGCTCCAGGGTCTTGTGCAGCACTGCCTCACCACATTACAGGTTAGAGGATCCACTGGACCGTGTTTCTGTATCATCAGTGTTGGTCCAAAATAGCATGTTTCTATAGAGAAGTCGAATGCTTCTTTAAGCTTACTAACTTTCACTTACTAATGTCTTGTTTGATGTTGATGCAGAAACGGAGGGAAGTCTGCAGGGGATGTCACATTCCTATGATCACTTCAGCCAAAGAGGAACAGAGGATGCTAGCCACCTGTAAGAAGGTGAGATAACAGAACGGAATATTTATTTCCCCCTTAGACCAAAAAAAAAAAGAAATCTCATTAGGCTGCAATACACAACTTTTGCCCAGAGATTTCCCCTGATTCACAGACTGGAGGAGTCGGCGCTTGTTGCCAGAAGTCAGAGCCAGTCTGCAGATATTGGTCAGTCGTGAAAATCATGTAGTGTACAATGGGAACAAACTATTATTTTTTTTTTAGGGTGCTTTCACACCTGTAGATCGATTGCTTTGTTCCGAAACAAGGATTAAAATTATTACAATGTTGCTTTTTATTCTTGGTGCGGTTCGCTTTCACATGGCAAAGTTTCTAAACGGACCAAATTTGTTAATACAAGTCACACTCGAGTAAGCTGTTCTCCCACGGTTTATTTTCTGGGATTCCACTTAGCTGTCACAGCTGTCATCCGTCAGGATGGAACGCGGAACTTACGTAATTACCCATTATACATTGTGATATAGCCTGGTTCGTTGGTCCGTTAGATCGGATTGCTTTCTCACTACAACCGACCCGCTCCAGAATTAGTTTTCAATCGAGCCGAGACCACCTCGTTCAGGCGATCTCAGACCGATTGTTTTGGCGCGGATCCGAGCGTGATTGCCGTGTTCACATATGCCCAAACGAACCGAGCTAAGGGGGGAAATGTGCCAGGTTCTGAAACAACGGGCCAGCTGTGAAAGCACCCTTAGATTCAGACTATGTTTCCATCCAGTCAGAAGATATCAAACACGTTTGATATTTTGAGCTGATTTTAGAATGCATTTTTTCATGCATCTCCTAGCAATGTGGTGTAAGTTTCTATGGCTGTGTTTGCACTGGCACAAAAAATCTGATTTTTTGCTCACATCTGACACAGATCAGAATTCGTCGCACACGTATAAAGACACAAATCCGCACGATATCTGATTTTTTCACATTAGATCTGAGCCAATTCCAAATGTGGTTTTAAATCAGATACATATCTATATCTGGACATCCAACCTACGTCTAAATACACATATCCGATTCCTTCAACTCCAACCACCACAATGCGAGGGCGACACGTTTGCCCACAAAGATAGCATTTTAATGCTGGCATGCTGTATGCGCTCGCATTTTATATAGGTGGGAACTTTATATATAATTAAGAAATTGTGCAATATTCAGGAGCTGGTTTTCAACCCCTGCCCTGTGAATTTTATAAATACAACAGCTTCGCTACTAAAAGCTGCATTATATTTCTCAGCAATGAGGTGATAGCTGTTTTTGTAATTAAACCAACAAGCTTCACTATTAGGCTACTCAATCGTGCATTCGCTCTCTCTCGTTAATTCATTTGAATTCATTAAAATAAATATAATCTTACAGCGCTACTTTATTTCACTTCAGAATCCCTTATCTAAGGAGCTGTAGATAAAATAACAAATGAAAATTATCATTATTTTCCAGTGTTTATCCATTCAGTCAGATTTTGTGCTGCAAACATCCATGACAGCT